GTGGCAAGTTGTCACACATTTACTGCAGTGAAAAAGTTATTTTCTCCTTGTACTTTAACTTTTAGAATTTCTATATAGACATAAACCATAAAGTCTTGACTACAAAAAAAAAAAACACATATCCATGGTTATTTCCCAGGGAAATCAATCAATCAAGTTCTCTGAACACATGTTGACACATCAGGGAAAAACAGCAAAGCAATTCTAAAACATTTAATATTATATTAAATATAATAATTATTATTACAATCAATAAATTGTACCTTCATTATATATATAGGCTTCTTTCTGAATGTATGCTAGTGTGGCTTTATTGGGTTCACTTGTTTACCGAGAACCTATTTAAAAAAACGTAATGTCTTGAATTTTTATGATTAATGTTTTGATGTTTTAGAAATGTTGTGTTTTTTTTTTATTTTTTATTTTTAAATATGTCTATATAGTTTTTATTCATTTTTATTTCAGAATGTCAATTTAAACTAAATAAAAATTAAAATAAAATAAGTTTAAGTTTTGGTATGTTATTTCAGTTAAAATGTATTGTATTTCAAGAAAATAAAATGTTTTTTATGGTTTTATTTTTGCTTAGCTAAAATAATCCTGCATTATAGTTACTGAAAAATAGCCCTTCCCTGTGTGACAGCTAGCCCCATCATCCTCTATTTTAATGCATTTGTGTGCATACATAGTAATGCTCCATGTTTCCAAGACATTACAATACAAAGAAATGGATGCACACATAAACGCACACACTTTTCTCGTATGAGATTGATTGCCTGCAAAGCAGTCTCATGCAGATGGCATCTCTCCTTTTGACATGATAATGGCTCTAAATTGATGAAGACACCTCACTCATTCTCTACCAGCTCGCTGACAGGCCTTACCCAAACACTTCAATCTGCTACAACTACCCATCAATCACCCGCAGCCCCTCCCACCTTATGTCCACACGCTTGTCCATTTTAATCAGCTAATTCTCTCCTTCACCATCACCCCGTTCACCGATACAACACTGTGTTTTGCCCATCTTCCCTCACACTTAATCTGCTTTAATGAAGTCCTGATCTGCCAATTAGACACAATCACAGCCAAGCAGAAGATAAATATAACCAACACACTGGTCAAGCTGGTGAAAGAAAACACTAAAAGAGATACAGATACAGTAAGCAAGGACAGTTCAAGGACTTCTGAGATTTTGTTGGAAGCTGATTTCTACATTTGGTGTCAAGACTGCAAGATTTGTACTGTAGGAGGTGACTTGATTATCAATGAATCAATGAATCTCCTAATGAAATGTTCGAAACCAATTGAGTGTGACATTTAAAACAAACCCTAACCCTAAATATTAAACTGCATCCTGCACCGTTTCTGCTACAGACATTAAAAACACCTCAAAATCATACAGTTTGCTGAGGAGAAACTTCTCAGAAAATATTCATTTGATGGATGATAAAACAGGTGAAAAATCTCATCGATTTGCACTGAAGAAACCATATCAAGAGCAGAATATGATAGAGACATTGTTTGAGCACCTAGCAACCACCCCGAATAGTTAAAATACCACCCGAAAATAAAAAATAAATTGCTTAAAATGTACTCACCCTCAGGGCATCCAAGATGTAGATGAGTTTGTTTGTTCATTGAATTGATTGAAACAGATTTGAAAAAAAAAAAGTGAAAAAACATATAGAAATAGAAGATAAATATGCACAGATAAATCACTGTTTCTAAGCAGAACAGTTCTAAACAAATATGTTGGTGAAAAAAACTTTTTTTTTCACTGGAGGAGGCAAAATTATGGATTATGGACTTGAATTTTTGCCAGAAGCGATGGTTTAAAGTTAAAATGCCTTAATGATGGATTTGTTTAAGACATAAGCATAAGACGTTTATTGATAGACTGGGGCCGTGTGGATAACTTGTGGATTATTGTCATATTTTTATCAGCTGTTTGGACTCTCATTCTGACGGCACCCATTCACTGCATAGGATCCATTGGTGAGCAAGCAATGTAATGCTACATTTCTTCAAATATGTTTCGATGAAGGTCTGAGGGTGAGCACATTTTCAGTAGTTTTTCATTTTTTGGGTGAATTATTCTTGTAAACATCATGCTACCTCAAATATCATGTTAACCTCCTCATATTATTATGCAACAATCAATGTTAGCATGATCAATCCAGAATATCTGACCGTTATGTTAGATATGTAAGTAATGTATGTAATAAGTATCGCTTTTTATTTCTCCTCTTTCCTATTACTTGTTTCGCTTCTGTTTCAGTTTTTATAACCATTTCTTACTATGTGTAAATAAGTTGTTGTTTTTTAGCATGTGTGTTTGGCAGTGTTATTTTTTAGGATTACTGATAAACTACTGTCATTTAATTTGTATTATTTGTATTTGTTATTTACTTTAATCTTAGTTAAATTATGTCTGAATGTATTATGTCTATATAGGTCTTTTATTAAGTTTTTAGTTTTATTTAATTTGAGTTATTTTAATACTTCAACAAACTAAATGGAAATGAAATAATATATATATTGAATTTATAAATGTGTATGTATATATATATATATATATATTATGTGTGTGTGGTTGTACATACACATGT